AATATATTAGTATATCGTCGAGATACACCAATACAAATGAATAAATGAAGTACATCGTTTATAAGATCCTGAAATACAGCTACATAAGCCAAAATGCATGACTAAATACTTGTAATACCCATTTCTAGTATTGAAAGCCGTTTTCCACTCATGTCCCTCCTTTATCCTCACCAAATTATACACACTCCTAATGTCAAGTTTGGTAAAAACTTTGGCACCTTGCAGTCTGTCAAATAATTCGGAAATGATCAGTATAGGATATGCAATTTTCATAGTGATCTTATTTAATGCCCTATAGTCGATACAGGGATGTAGATCTCGATCTTAGATACAAAGAAGAAACCAGCACTGTATGTGACCTTTAGACAAGGACCCGTTTATGTATTCCTCCATGATTTTGCTTTCTTGAGGGAATAACGTATATACACCACCCTTAGGGGGTACCAGGAAGCAGATCAATGGAGCAATTGTAAGACCTGTGTGGAGGTAAAACATTAGTGTGTACCATGTTAAACACTTCTTTAACCTCCAAATAGGGAAAGGAATCTCAGTAGAAAGAGGAGCAGTAGTAGGTATATTAACCATGTCCAAGCTCTTAGAAACAGGTTGAATACACTTAAAGGACCACTCTAGGCACCCAGACCACTTCAGCTTAATGAAGTGGTCTGGGTGCCTGGTCCAGCTAGGGTTAACCCATTTTTTAATAAACATAGCAGTTTCAGAGAAACTGCTATGTTTATTAATGGGTTAAGCCTTCCCCCAAAGCCTCTAGTGGCTGTCTCATTGACAGTCACTAGAGGCGCTTGCGTGCTTCTCACTGTGATTTTCACAGTGAGAGCACGCCAGCGTCCATAGGAAAGCATTGTAAATGCTTTCCTATGCGACCGGCTGAATGCGCGCGCAGCTCTTGCCGCGCGTGCGCATTCAGCCGGCGGGGCGTAACGGAGGAGGAGAGGAGGCAGAGAGCTCTCCGCCCAGCACTGGAAAAAGGTAAGTTTTTACCCCTTTCCCCCTTCCAGAGCCGGGCGGGAGGGTGTCACTGAGGGTGGGGGCACCCTCAGGGCACTATAGTGCCAGGAAAACGAGTATGTTTTCCTGGCACTATAGTGGTCCTTTAAGTCTACAGTCACCACTCCATTATAGAATCTCACCGTAACCCAATCAATACGCGGATTGTGCTTGAAAAGCCAGGAAAAAACAAGTATTATGGGACAAGAAGGAGATGAAATAACTTGGAAGGTGATGAGTTTCTTGTGTAAAGCCCCTACCATTAAGGTAATAGGTAATGTTTCCTGTGTGATCGAAGGTTGGGACAGTGGTCTACCACCTATGGCCTCAACAGCCAAAGGTGTGGTTCTTGAGCGGCACTACATGGTTGGTAACAAACAGTTGGTCTATAAAGTTTTCAGCTGCACCAGAATTAACCAAAGCATAACACAAGAAATATGTTTTATTGTTCTGGGCAAACACAGAAAGCATAAACCTATTTTGAGGCATACCAGGGGACAAATACATCATACCTAAGGCTGGTCCCCGGACGGTTCTTAGGTGCGCAAGTTTTCAGGCCGACTAGGACAAGCTATTCTCAAATTACCCTTTTTTTCCACAATATAAACAGAGTCCATTATTTCTCCTATATAGTTTTTCAGCTTAAGATAATCTTATCACCCCTAATTGCATGGGTTCAGGTGGGGGAGATGGAGCAGGTAACATAGGAGTGGAGAAACGGGGTCAATAGACAAGCTGGAATGTCTAGTTCTATTTCTGTCTCTGTCTCTCTCTCTTAGACAGTTATCAATATGCATCATGTAAGTGATGTACTCATTAAGTTTTTCTGGTAATTCTTTAGCAGCAGTCTCGAGTACTGCATCAGATAGACCGGAAAAGGCAGTGATTAAACCGCTTTTAGTACAGTTGACCTCTAAAACAAGGGTACGGAATTCAATGGCGTGTTTTATACGCATTAATGCTTTGGCAGTGTTTTTTTATTTACCCAATGGCTCAAATGTCAGTTTAAACGCCCTTAGAACGCCGCACCAGCTCGGACCCGTCTTCTTGGAGTATCGGGCAGCACTCCGCCGCGATCCAGGTAAGTAAAGTTTTACCTTTAGTGCTCATGTGCACTTATCAGACGGGACCGCGTCGATACAGACCCCCTGCACCATGACAGCAACCTCCTCTTACCCTACTCACCAACGTCCCACTTCACAAGACGCCAATGTTGGAGGTATGGATTTTGTTGAGCGATGAAAGCATAGGGTATATGTATTCTTATAAATGCATAATGTGAGTTTTCCTCTGGAACCACCTCCACCAGATACAAGACACTTGAGAGGTACAACTATTTTATACACTGTTTTCGGTCAGTAAGATTCTGTAATTAGCCCCATCATAATTTCAGCACCAGGCCCAATAGGCTCTTAATCTGGCCCTGTAGACATATAGCAGAGGTATTCCAGGCATTCCCATTTATTTTACATGTGGATGGGGCCTTTCTTGCAACTGCTGACCACCATAGGCTTTTTTTTAATTTTATTTTTTACATATTCACTTTTTTAATGTGTCAGATGGCTAGCAAGTGCTGGCAGCCACAACTTGTTTAACACTCGTGCCACAGAGAGTTTTTGTTAACTATTTGCCCACTGACAGCATTTGCCTGATAACAATCCAGGTTCCCATGACAGCCATTTGGCAGCTGAAATCTAGACCAAATTCAGGCTTGTTTGGAGCCTGCTCTGGAAAATCTGTACAGCACCAAATGGTTTTGCCCCGTTCAGACTTTAATGGATTACCCTAAAAAAGGTGAAATGATCATGTCTCTTATATGGCAATGAAATTGAACAAAATAGTGGAAAATATCTAAATACATTTGCTTTAATTAGAAGATGCAGACATAATATCTTCTCTCTTGTTGTTATGGTGCTCACTTAGTGAGTCAGAGTGCAGCTAAGGGTATTTACAGCCTGCACTCTCACACAACATTGAGCACAGGAAAAACAAGGGACAGGATATTATACCTGCACCAGAACGAAGTGCAGGGCTTGTAATTCACCACCATACCACCAAAAAATGTATATGAGTCAAGCCAGCACTGAACTAACAGGAGTGCATCTGTGTGTATACATCTGTGGGCATCTGTGTGTGGCAGTGTATATGTGTTTCTCTGTAGGAGAATGTCCACCTGTAAGTGTGTTGCAGTATATATGTATTTGTGGATCTGTAGGAGAGTAGGAAAACAATTTGGGTTGAAGTTGTGTCTTCTCTCAACCAGCAATTGCATCAGGAACAGCAGCAAAGGACATTGACAGCTGACTGCATGCAGCCTACCACAGGTCTCACTGCTGGTACGAATCAGAAGGCTACCATGAAGTATGTAATTGTTGCATTAGCCATACCTCCATTAGGTTCAGGTATATGCAAAGTCAGGGACCTTTATTCAGTGTTAAACTGCTTAAAAACATCCACCCCGGGGGCGGAGCTAACGCATGCAACTGAACAGTCGCCATTTCCCTGAGATCCTCACGGGCCCAACAAAATCTGCCTAATATCTTATTCCCAACTCGCCATCTACCCTCGAAACCACGAAAACTGGACACAGGTTACTGAGCCGCATCGACTGATGCCCTTTCAGTACACCCCGGGGAAAAACAAGCCGAGGCGCAGATCTGGGGCCTACCGCTACCCCAAGCCTCAAGGCCTAGACTCGCTCCTCGATTCCCTCATCGGAGAGCACAGCTCAAACATCCCGGAGCAGCAGTGGTCACCCCCGCTGCCCGACACCCCGACTATGAAACGCCGAACACAGAAACCCGACAGGAACATAGGGGCTATGCTCCAGAGACCCGCGGCCTCGAAGACGCCAACAGCAGAGGCCGACCACGCCACAGCGGTCCCACAATCGGGGACAGAGAACGGGGACGCGGAACTCAGGCAAACACCCCACCACGAGCCATCCCTAAGCTTACTGCAGGCTGACAGCATGGCACCGACCACCAAAGGTGACCTCAAACTACTCCTCGCAGACCTCCACAAAATGATGGCAGCCAACCTTGCACGAGTACGCACGGAAATTCACGCAAACACAGACCGCATTAAGGCCATGGAGGAAAACAACCTGGATGTGCAGACTGAGGTGGCCCATCTCAAGAACCCGATACAGCAGCTCAATACCCACCACCAGGCAATGGCTGACAACCCTCGAGGATCAACTAAGGAGAAACAACATTAAAATACGAGGCATACCAGCGGCAGTAAGAGCTGAAGAACTCCCGCACTATATCCGGAGGCTGTTGGCCGCCTTACTCCCACCAGCGGTGGCCAAAAAAGTCACACTCGATGGCATATTCCGACTCACCAGCATGGCCAAGCCCTCCACCCCTGAGCCACGGGACGTAATCGTCCGCTGCTCCTCTGCGAAGGACAAAAGCCACATTATGGCGGCAACACGAGGTAAAACCCCACTACAGTTTGAGGACTCCTCTCTAAATTTCTTCCACGACTTAACTAGGGCAACGCTGCAGTGGCGCAGACAAATGGGCCCCATCACGACTCACCTCCAGTCCAAAGCAGTGCCATACCGCTGGGGAACGCAAGGCACCTTGCTCGTACCCCGGAACGGAACGACCCACACGCTCCGCGCATTCACGGAGGCTCCTACACTCTGCGCAGCCCTCGGGATAGAAACACCAGACCCCAACAGCCCTGGAAGCACCACGAACAGAACATGGAATCCTGAGAATGTGATCCCCTTTGTGCCACGACATTGAAGCCTCTCCTCAACAGAGACTTGACAATAGAGAAATCTCCGGCTGGAGCCCACTGACACACAGATACGGGACTAAGCACTGGATAAACACACTGTATATATATTTGTTGTTCCCATTAGCTAGTTTCCTTGTTTCCCCCTACCACTGAACACACCAGAGCTCTCCAAATGATAGAGGCCCAATAGTCCCTGCCGGTGCAGATACGGCGATACATCCCCCACCCTGCGGTTACAGGGTAACACACCCGGATAACCCCGAAGCTCACAACCACCCACACAAGCAACAGCCATCTATCACAACATACCCACCGGTAAAGCTAAGACATCACCACACAAATAGCGGCAAGTCGTACTCTCTCCCACAAACCCCCATGCACACAGCCACCACACTACACAATACGAACCTGGAGCTACCCTCTAGGGCAACGCACCCCAACTGGGAGATCATGCCCCCTGCCAACCTGGCCAGACCGTACTCATGGTTCCCTACGCCCCGTAACAGCGCCGCAATGAGGCAGAGGGCACATAAGAATGGAGGAGACACGCTTGCTCACAAATGCATGCACTACAAAACGTAGGTGACATAGTTGTAGATTGGCCCAGTGTTTGCCAATACTTGACTATTTTACTATTGTTTCTTGTTTTTATTGTTTAGATAGCTGCCAAAGATGTCAGGGACAAGATTGTAGACCTACACAAGGCTGGAATGGGCAACAAGACCATCACCAAGCAGTTTGGTGAGAAGGTGACAACAGTTGGTGCAATTATTCGGAAATAGAATAAACACAAAATAACACAGTCTCCCTCAGTCTGGTACTCCATGCAAGATCTCACCTCGTGGAGTTACAATGCTCATAAGAACTGTGAGGAATCAGCTCAGACCTACACAGGAGGATCTTGTTAATGATCTCAAGGCAGCTGGGACCATAGTCACCAATAAAATAATTGGTGTGCCGCGTGGTAGTACTTTTCAAAGTCCGGCAGCGCCAGTCCCCCACGGAGTTTGGGAAGGATCAGTTGGGTGTGTGCTACCTGGGGAGATCTGCCCTTCCATATAAATCTGCAAACTTTCCTTTTCAGTGCCTCGAAGAACGATTGTGGGGCTAGTATCGGGACTGTTTGAAATATGAATAGCAATTTGGGGAGCAGTGTCATTTTGACCGCGTTCACCCTTCCTAGCCATGATATGTAGTAGGAGTTCCATTTGTGTAGTTCCTCTGTTGCCTTTTTCAGTATTGGGAGGTAGTTGTGCATGTATAGGTCTGCTGGGTTGGGTGTAAGCCAGATCCTTAGGTATCTCATTCGGTGGTCGCACCAACGGTATGGGTGTTGTCTCTGGATTGTTTTTTCTGAGTGCGTGGTTGACGTTCAGGTTCAGGATCTCCGACTTCGAGTGATTGATTTGGAGGTTCGAAAGTCGGCCATATAGTTCGAATTCAGTCAGTATGGCCCAGAGGGAGGTCTCTGGGTTCGTAACCACGAACAAAAGGTCATCTGCTTATGCCAAGATTTTATGGTGCGAGTTTCCGATCCTCATTCCTTGTATGTCTATGTTCCGTCGGATCTTGTTGATGAAGGGCTTCAGTGTCAGTGCAAACAGCAAGGACGAGAGTGGGCAGCCTTGCCTGGTTCCGTTGTGGATCTGGAACAGATCCGATAGTGCGCCGTTGATCCTGATCCGTGCTGTTGGGTTTGTGTATAGCGCCGTCACCCAGGTGAGTTATTTTGCCCCTACGCCGACTTGTCGGAGAGTTTCAAACATCAGTTCCCAGTCCACTCTCGAACGCTTTTTCCGCGTCCATTGACAGGAGTAGTACCGGTGTCCTTTGTGTTTTGGTGTGGACTATGATGTTCAGGGCTCTGATGGTGTTGTCCCTCACCTCCCTGCCTGGGATGAATCCCGTTTGGTCTGGATGGATTGATGCCGGTAGCAGCGGCGCCAGTCGGGTCGCGAGGATACACGCCAGGAGTTTAAGGTCCGTGTTTAGCATGGATATCGGGCGGTAGCTAGGGCACAGTGTTGGGTCTTTCACCTCCTTTGGGAGTAGGGTGATGTTGGCTGAAGTGAATTGGGCCGTCTGTATGGCCCCGTCTTGGATGGAATTAAGTGCCATTAGGAGTTTAGGTGTCATATTTTGTGTGAACGTCTTGTAATACTGGAGGGGGAGGCCGTCTGGTCCTGGTGCTCTGCCTGTTTTTGCTCTCTTGATGGCGTACGCTATCTCCTCCGGTGTTATGGGTGCCTCTAATGCCTCTCGGTCTATGTCACCTATTTCTGGCACGTTCGCGGCGTCCTGGTAGTCCCTGATGTTTTCAAATATGTTAGTCTGTGGAGCTCCTGGGGCTTCTCTATGGGGGTTATATAGGTTCTGGTTATATGGAGGTTATATAGGTCTTGCCTCCAGGGTTGCTATGTCTTTGCTGAGGTTGAAGATCACTTGTATCGCGGTCTTCTTGCCGGATGCGCTGATTGCAATGTTTTGGCCTCGGATCACTGTTTTGTGTGCCTCTTAGCAGGTCAGTGGTGTCACGTCGTCCGTTTCATTTTCCTCAAAGTATGTTCGTATGGAGTGGCTGATAAAATTAAATACAGAGGTTCACTTATTTCCCCACTTAGCTCCTTAAGTACTTGTGGGTGAATACCATCAGGCCCCGGAGCTTTATTTACATTAATTTTCTTTAATAGCTGTAGCACCTTGTCTCGAGTTATCCAATCACAAGTTTTCTGCAAGTTTTTTGCAGCAATCATTTGCATATCTCTTGCCATAGGAAAAATAGTTATTTAAAATTTCAGCTTTTTCCTGGTCTTCATTAGCTAACAAACCCATCTCTGTTTCCAGTGTACCTACACTTTCATTTTTTGTTGTTTTAGAATTGATGTACTTGAAAATGTTTGGGGTTGGTTTTGCTTTCTTTGGTTATTAATTTCTCATTTTATAGTTTAGCAACTTTAATTGCCTTTTTGCAAGCATTATTGGCTTGCTTATATCTTATATAGGATGCCTCTGATTTGTCCAATTTAAATAAATATACTTTATGCCTTTAAGATATCTATAGCTCGTAACTGGAAATCTACCCTTCCTCCTTCATGGTAAGAAACCTTAAATCAAATAGATTATCAGTATACAATGGAATGGAATTTTATTACCACTTCTGACAATTTATTTCCTACTGTGACTTCTGGTAGGTTTGGGCAGTATATAGAAACAATTTAAATCGTTTGATATAAGGATAAGCTATCGGTTTAGGATAATAGATGTCCTATGTATATCAGTTAGGAATCCCTTGGATATATAATTCCTCATACTTGATATCAAGCCCCATTCATTGCAGTTCCTATATATGTTTGTTCTTTTTTTATGTTACATGTCCATTGCCTTATAACACAACATATTTCTATGTAGGTCATTGTCACATTCTGGCAATGGCTTTTGGTATCCAGTACTCTTTTTACAATTCTTGTTTAGTTTTTTTTGTTTTTTTTTCTGGTATTCTATTCTGTCTGCTTTTTTTTAATGCTGGGTTTTCTGGGTTCATTCCTGTATTCCGTTCCTGGAATTCCCAGTCTCCTGAATTCATTAAATGTTTGTTTTATGTTGCCACACCCGTTCCTTTTCCATGAATCCTTTTGTTTCAGTCTGGATCCTGCAGGCAGTTGCTCAAGTTCTTGCAGGTAAGTACCGTGTGTGCTTTATTATGGTTAATTTAGCAGACATTAGGCAGTTAGAGTAGGACCTGCCAAATATGGGGTACATTGGCCTTGTGGCAGGCTTATGCAATGTATGATCATATAATGTAACTAAATCCCCATAGTTTTCACATATAGTACTTAGTTATTTCTCCTCTTGTTTTGCCTATTATATCTTGTCTTGTTTCATTTTGTATTCCCAGTCGATGTACAGTCCTGTCTGTCCTGTCCTGTTTATGTTTCCCATATGTATTGTGTACATGTTCTGGGTTTAGCTTCCTATCCTTCTCTGGTTCTGGGTTCTATTAGTTCTGTCTTGTTTTCATGTTTGGTGTCTGTTCTAGTCTTGCCTTGTTTCTGTACTGGATACATTCCTGCTGCAGAGCCTCCCTATTCAGCTCCTGGGAGGTCTGCTTATTCCCAAGCTCCTAGCTCCTGGGATCCGCTGTAGCTGCATCAGGGTCCTGGTATATGGCCGCAAAAACGCTGGTGCTCAACACCGGGGGGCATGTGGTTAACTTGTACCAGACCCTGCTAATCCGCTTCCACACTGTGATTCCTATATTCAACATCAGGCATACTGGGTCCCGGACATCCGACCGCCGCACAGACAATGTCTGGGTCCTGGTTACCGGACCGCCACCCTGACAGTCATTTACGAACTTTCTGTAGATTAGTAATAAAATATGAGATATAATTGTATCTTTTATACCTTTTTTTTTTTGGCAATGGTGTTTAAACTAAAAAAAAAAAAAAAAAACACATCGGCAGAACTTACCACATTTGTAAAATATAAGTCAACAACTGCAAAATAAGTTCAACATATAAAACATAGATTACAATCATAGATGCAGTATCAGTAGCTGCGTACTGTATATGAACAGAACCTTGACCGATCAACTGGTGTGATCAGGGGTGATTGTCACTTATTCATCCGCACATAAAAATGTGGTTAATGGCATTTACCGTCCTCACTGGAAAAGTTGTGCCGAGCAACATTACTGTCCTGACAGGAAAAGTTGTGCCGAGCAACATTACCGTCCTCACAGGAAAAGTTGTGCCGAGCAGCAATGCACATGGAAACCTGGTAATTGCTTTTGGGGTCAAAGGCCGGTTACGGCCAATCAGATCCACAGGAGGGTTTGAGCTGAGCAGCAATCATGCACATGGAAACCTGGTAATTGCTTTTGGGGCCAAAGGCAGTTACGGCCAATCGGATCCACAGGAGGGGTATTTAAAGTCTCCTTTTGCTCATTGCCCTGTCGTGGTTTCATCCTGATGGTAATCCGATAGTGCGTTCCTGATCTTGATTTTCTGGTATTTGACTTTGGCTTCGTTTTGACTTCCCTGAATTCTGGTATCCTTGACTTTTGGCCTTCCCTCATCGTTGTGTCTGATTCTGTGTTCCAGTCCTCGGCAAGTATTTTGACTATACTTGGAATACGTTAAGTCCGGCCATTCTAAGGTCCAGTTATATATTATCCTTAGTCCTAGGTGTGACACAGTTCTGCGTGCTGGATCAACTTGTAATTCTGACAGTGATAAATCTTCGCTATGAGAGTAGGGCGTTATAAGGTCCAAAATGGAGACTATGCTAGGCTAATAGTGGGCTCTCTACTAGTTAGACCCAGCCATGTTACTTCTCGCAGAGGGTGATAGACTATTATTTTTTGGAGGACAAAAATTGGAAATAGGTCGCGCCACAGTAAAACAGTAAAAATAATATAAGCAGTGGTGATGTACTCACATATAATGAACAAGGCAACAATGTATTCAATAGTCCTAATACTTGGTGGACTGCTAAAGGATCAAGTTCACCTGCAGAGACTTGATTATGGTGTCATTCTGAAACGGTGCTAGGTCTTCAGATGGTGGAGTTGTCTAAA